GTAGATGTGTATACATATACCTATATACACACATACAAGCATACATATATATATATATGTCTGTATGTTTGCATTCACGCCAGTGTTTATCACCGTCGCACAAAATCGGACCGATGTTGATGTAGACGACTGGTACAGGCAACAGGATGAGCTGTAAGTACAGTAGACCAACAGGATCGCGACAGGATCATGACAACAATCCCGAAGGAACCGATTTGTCAAGCGACGTTATCGTAGCAGTAGTATTGTCATTTCTGATGTCTGGAGGATTTTGAGTGGTAGAGGTAGTTCACAGCCGGGGACCGTGATCAGTAATGTGATCAGTAATGCTTGCCCTATCAGGAGCTAGAATCATGATGTAGCTAGCTTGATCATTGCCTGCCGTTCCGAGCTCATGTGAGGGAAGGTCCAAACTTCCCTGCTCAACTCAGGTAGCCAAGGAAGGTGACGTGCGTCTGCTCCAGCTCTTACTCCAGAAGCTTGGCTTGCAAGCTTCACGCATTCATGTAACCTGTTCATCTCTTCGGCGAGCGTCATGCTTGCCAGCAGCCAGTGCACAAGCAGCACGGCAGTCTCAAAAACAAGCTGTCTCCTCCCTAGGCATGCTTCACAGGATGGACTAGTCGGATCCACCAGCTCAAGCGACAGGGCTTCCGTTAGTTTTCCAAGCTCAGGCGTCGCGAGACTCGTGAGGAGCCTGTGGACTATCAGGATTCCAAGGCAGGAGGTAAATTGATCTAACTGTTTCCCTGTGCGATGATTGCGGAGGCCTCCGGGGCATTTTCAAAGTTTTCTCGCGCACGAACCTCACAGCTGCTGATCAGCTGCCATGGTCGTCGTTGTGGCCGTTGCTGTTGCTGTTTTCCCGTTGTTTTGCTGTTCTTCCTGTTGTTGTTGTGGTGGTGGTGGTGGTGGTTGTTGCTGCTGCTGCTGCCTCTGCGTTTGTCGTCCTTGTCCCTGTTCTTCGTGGTCATGTTCTTGTTCAGCTGCATCTTCCTCCTACAGCAACATCATTGCGATGCAGGGCATCACTGCTCTGGGGTATGCAATATGGGCCGGGCATTTGGAAGCCGCGAAGCTCCTCATCGAACGAGGCTGCTCGGTCTGCATTTGCCAGTGTACAAAGGATCGGGACATAATTTCCTCTTGACTGACACAGCTCGGCTGCCTCAGGAGCTGATGCACAACTCGTCGTGCCTTGGCTGCTGAAAGCAGACGCCTGAAAAGAGTTCTAGGTCCAGCTCACCGGTCGCGCGTAGTCATGCGGGGTGCTACCTGGGGCCTTCGGTCTTATCTTTGTCTTCGACATCGGTCTCAAGGACAGCTTCGACAACAGCTGCGTCCACTACGCAGCCGGATATGGGCATGCAGAGCTGCTCCTTGCAAGAAAATGGCTCGGGACGATTCGCATATGACAATGCAATTGCAGCTATGTTTCCAGATGTAGGTCGGTGGACAGTCTTGCATACTCCTATCAGACTAAAGTGATGTGCTGTCGCCTTGGTGCTCCCATAAATTTAAATACTAAGCCACATGCCAGCTTGGTTGTGGGAGGCACGATAGAAGTACTTGAGCAATAGCAGAACATCGTGGCATAAAATACACATGAGGCATTGTCTTAGGGTTTCTGCTGTGGAGTAGCACCCGGTTGGCCGAGTGAGAGCCGTCGCCTTTGAATCGAATGCCAGCAGTGCAGGTTGGAGTATCTGCTTGAGTTTGGCTTCAGCATGCACCGCACCAATGCATCAGGCCAGACAGTGATGAGCACTGTGCATCGGACAAGGTTGCTTCGTCAACAATCCTGACATCAATGCTGGCAGCAGCAATTCACCCATGTACGAAAGACCAACTCTGCAGTGTGCAGTTGATTCACACTCCGAGATGAAGCCTACGCCCAGACCCGAATCCCGCGGAAATGCTGGCCACTTTGAACCTGCAGGTCTTACTCCGATGGCCGTCGCCATGCAGAGCCACCAGGAGCTCTGGAGGTCTAGGAATGGCGACAGTGACGCTGGTCGATGGAGCTGTTGCCCTCTGGATTGCGGTTGCAGCCTGCAGGAAGCAACAATGCTTGTCCTCGACACCTTCGGAACCACTTGACGTTGCTTTGGCCCCCCTAAAACCTCGAGGCAAGATTCCGGATTTGATGCCCCGATCAAGGCAGTACAGACTGCCTGAGCCGCGCCTGGAAGGCCTTTGTTCACAGACAGCCCGCCGCCTTCTAATTCGGATCGGCATTCCATCCTGTCATTTAGGAGGGCATTTCGTAGCAACACAATATAGAAAGATAAGAGCAATGCAAACGGGCGACGTCTTTACGAAGGCCTAACGTCACGACGTGTTTTTTGGACGGCCGTCGTGCGTGTGCTCCACGGTGCTGCGGGGTGCGGTATGGTGCAGTTTTGAACAGAGCCCACACAGAGTGGGTGAAGTAGTCATCAGTTAAGTGCTTCCACACTTCGCTCCTGGCTGGTCTGCCAGCTGGACACCACATGTCGGATGCCCTGCTACTCCCAGCCTGTCATGTCAGCCTGATGTTCAATTCTGCGTCTTGTTTCATCCTGGCAGCTTCAGCTAGATCTCCGGCAAACTCTTGAAGCGGGGCATCTTCATCTGGCATCTTGCAGTTTACAAGGGCCAGCACATTGTCGAACAGCTTATCGGCTTCATGCTTCAATCCCAGGGTCGCTTGGGGCATTTTTTGATACAAGTAAACCGAAAGGCTGCTTAGTATGGCAGAGCTTCTCTACGTAGCCGATAGCGAGAGAGGGCACACCTGTAGTCGCCAATACTCGGGTGCTCGATGTTCTCGGGCACACGATTTCAAGGGAAGTGAAGGCATGAACATGTTGCTTTCACTCCCACTACCTGCCACAGCTGCCTGAAACGGGGCATGTCAGATGACCATGGTGAGGTATTTTTTCCAGAGGCAGTTCTTCGCCTCTTCGAAGTTATGAGTTAGCGGTGCTGTGTCAGTTTGAAGGTGGTTGCAGCTGTCCGCGAAGCGCCGGGAACTGTCAAACTGAATCACTGACGCAAAAGGCGCCTCGCGTTGAGAGCGCAGCCATCAGCCTATCCTACCTTTGCAATTGCAGAGCTGACGTGTAGGTTACGACGTTCGTTTTGGCGTCGTGGCCTCCGCTTGAAGCTGATGAATCGGCGCAACCTAAGTTGTACATGCTGCAGCTGCGGTGCAGTCAGGGTCAAGGTCTTCGTATGCTCAATTGCTGTTTCATGACAAGCAGGCGATCTCGCTGCGAAAGTGGGCCCTGGCTGCGGCAGTAAGCACTTCCAGACTTTGCTCCCCTGCTTGGGTAGCGGTCTCCATTTCGATGAGGCATGGTTTAGGTGCTGCCGGGTGAAGTGCGAGGCGCGCGGCCTCGTTATGCGAATTTGCCATGGGACAAAAATGGCCTTGGCCACCTTGTGGCAGTCGGTTGGCGGAGCCCTCGAAACTCACAAGACTTGTTCTGAGCAGGCGACTGGCATTGCTTCTATAAGAGAAGTCAAGATGAGTCTAGGAGTCTAGCAACCGGCCGATGTGCCTCGATACGTAGCAGGTTAAGCCGCAAGACTGCATCGCAACGAGCTTAAAAGCTCGCAGCCTCAGCGCCAGAGTACAACTGCAGTTCTTTCTGCAGAGGCGTGAAGAACTGCACTGAAGACTGACTGTATCCGGTAAGAGACATGGTGCCGAGGGAGCTGCAGTCTTGGGGTGTCTCTTGTATGATTACCCAGAAGGTGCTGTGGAGAAGTGCCTGCGCATGGGAATGAAAGGGCAGGTGCCGATGAGAGGGCGAGAGACACCTTGTCTCGGGTTTAGCGCTCCAAGAAGGAGAGGTAAGTCTCTGTCGAGAACCTGGACTAATCACCAACGGCACGAAACAACTGGATCAGACATGTTCATGTTTTGCACAAATACGAAAACACAATCTTGTTCCCCCAAATATTAAATGGGGCTCCCCCCCGACACGGAAAGTATCTTTACTATTGGGGGTATTTTTATCTCTACTGCCACTTTTGAGGGGTCGTGCTCTTGCTCCTGCTTCTGCTGCGTCTCTCGCGCCTGCTCCTGCTCTTGCTGTTGCTCCCGCTTTTGCTCCTGCTCTCGCTCTTACTTCCGCTCTTGCTTTTGCTTTGCTCTTGCTGCTGCTCTTGCTGATGCTGTCGCTTTTGCTCTTGCTCCTACTCTTGCTCTAACTCCTGCTCTTGCTCTTGCTTTTGGTCTTGCTCTTACTGTGCTCCAAGGGTCGCCCCAATGGGTTTTCATTATTACTAGTAGGGGGGTGTTTAATAAAAGAGGGAAGCGATTAATTGCGCTGCAACTCAGGAGCAGTTCTAGTAAGGATCGAAGACAAATCACATGGTAATGGATCTGCCAGGCGAGCCACCCCGCACTGATGCATGCTAGGGTTTCTGAAAGCTCTACTTGTATCATGATAGCCGCTGCCTCTCTTCATTGTTTTTTTCCTCTTCGTCGGGAAAGCTTTCCACTTCTTTCATGAATCGAGATCTTACAGTCTGCCACATCCGCTGCCACGGAAGCTGACCCTCTGAACAGTCTGTGCATCCCTTTCGGAGCCCTTGAGATGTGCAGGCAACTTCAAATCGGTGCGGAGCTCCTAAGCTTGGACCACCTGGAGGTCAGTGGAGAGGCCAGAAGCTGTACGGGTCCCTGGTACAGAGGAGCCTCTTAAAGCCTTGTCGTGGCCGAGGCGTGGAATCTGACGTTGAACCAGCGAGGCGATCTGGCGAAGCTGAGACCGGACGTAGCTGTTGCTTTGAGCGGGGCCCAGCAGGGGCGAGAGTTGCGCTGGCGGGAGACCGTTTCTTGTGCAGGGCTGCTTGGCACGAGCCCGACTGCTGCTGCAGTGGGAAGCGAAGTACAGCTGCTGCTGCTTGGCCTGATAAGGAGACCCCTGTCGAACCCTAACCCCACGAAACACTAGACAAACCTGAATCCTTAGTTTCAGCTCAGCTCCGAATGATCCTTGTGCCAGGCTTTTTCATGACCGCCGGCCGCTGCTGAAGCCCGACAGCCCAGCATGGCAGGCCATGGCCTGGCGAAGGGTTCTGTGTGCTGACCGCCTTCCGAGAAGACTGTAACTTGTACTCGTAATGAGGCGAGCCCCTCAAGCCATGGTAAGGTAATGGTCCTTTTTGCAGTCGCAGACTGAGCGTTTGTCGCAAAATATTGGGGTGGCACGGTTGGTACGATACTTAAGTCTACCTGCAGGCATGTGCTACAGGCAGGGTTGTATGATCTGTGCCTAGTTCTCGGCAGGAAGCGATACTGGAATGGGCCAAGGACTTCAGCATTGTAGAGATGGCTGTCTCTGATGACCTGTACCTTCCTAGAAGCCTTTCCTTGGAAGGATGCAGGCCCTGGAACGACGTTATTGGGAACCGGTCGCATGTGTACCGGGGCACTCGGACGTCGAGGCCTGCAAAGCAGTCTGGGCTCTGGTAAGATATGGCAAGACGTAAGACCATCCTCGAGCAATCCAGCAGCTCCAGACAGGCTGGGTGCAGCGCAAGCTGCTCCTTGATGCTGCTCGAGCAGCTGGATCTTTGCGCCTGGCAGGGCAGCTGGGAGAGAGCTTCGAAGCCTGGCTTCGCAGTAGAACCTAAAAGAATGGCCTGCTGGGTTAGATCTTGCCAGTGAGCTTTGTTGTATGAGTTGGGACCCTCAGGGAATGGTCTGACAGTTGCCACACGTCAGACATCTCAGATGACACATCGTACTCGGAAAGCACTGTTACGGATATGCCAGCAGCTGACAGCACTGTACCCGAATGGTTGCAACACTCGCATGTCAGGAGGCGTCAGCGAACAACGGTCTCGAGAATCCCATGCAGTCAACTGCTGCATGAATCTGAACGCGGGGGTAGATTTATTCGAGCATGCCACATAAAAGGGCAAAATACTGCCCAGTAGGCTGGATGTATTGTTGAACAGCTTCCTTACAGGCTGGGCCAAGCTACATGTGAAAGACATTCCAGGGTCCAGGGTGTGTGATTGTTGGTTTAGGAAGTTTAGTATCCTGGTTCCGTCACCTCTCTCTCGGACACGATGGCCAAGGCGTACTATACGGGGACGCCTTTGAAGCAATCTCCGCCACGATGCTTCGCCGGCACTTCTCGCCTGGCTCTTGAGGCCCAGAAAGCAGAGTCACGAAGTGCAACCTCAGTTGGCGCAGAACCTTGAAGGGTGCTGGTCGCATCTACAATTTGAGGCTTCCAGAACAGCGAAGGTATCGGCTTGCCTAGATACTGTTACACAGCGGATCGAATGCAGGCCAGGGGTGGTTCGGGAAGGCTGGTTTGTGCATCGCGAAGAATTGAAGCTCGAGTCTTCGGAATCAGCGAAGCTTGATTCCCCGGACTCCAGTTCTCAAGAGCTTCAGCGCTTCGAGTCTTCAGAATCTTCAGAGCTTCACTTCTTTAACTTCTTCTCGATGCAACTGATAGGCGGATCGACGTTGGCCGTGTGTTTCTTTTGGTGTTGCGTGAGGTTTGTCAGTGAACTTGTTAAATAAAAATCCCGTGGATGCGTGCTGGGAGTTGAAAAGCCTCGTGACCAGAACGTGTAAACTCGCAGTGCTGCTATGCATTAGGGCCCAAGTTGAGAGAAGAAGGCGGAACTCGCCGCTGCATCGCCGCTGCATCTGGAAGGCAAGAAACTGGGAGTGGGCCGCTTTCTCATCGGGAATTGGTTGATCCGGCCTTCTCCCAAAAAGGAGCATATAAAGGTTGTGAGACTCCCGCAGCAAGAGCTTCATCGACGCTCAACAAGCCCAACCGAATCCCACATTGAAATTTGCTTAGTGCTGCAAGCGACCTTTGTCAGTGCGGCTCAGGCTACGAGTGGCTCAACGATCCTTGGCAAATACTCGCATAGGAACACAACCCGGTGAAGCCACCGGACTTCGTCTGACTTCCTGCTTACATCAGAGTGACTAGCCTCCGTCGTTGCTTTACTCAAAGCCAAACCGAAGAGTCAGCCGCCAAGGCATACGAGTTCGGTGCCTTCCAGATGGCGCAAGACAGACCGACAGGTGGTGGGTCCTTTCACTGTAAAAACAGTGCGTGTAGCAGTGTAGCATAGTCCTTGTACATTTGCCATGACACATGTTCCAACTGACAGGCAGTTCGCGAGCAACGAGCAGTGACGAGGTGGAGTGGCTCATGGCACCTTGGTCCGGTGAGCAGACTTACTTTGACAACCATACCGCAGCCGACTGTCACAATGCGGCAGGCTTGTTGAACACTTTGCTCTGTATGCACTAGATTCACTAGATGCAATTTCTCAGATGCTTGTAGCGACTGCTTCTTTCCTACTAGGAAGTTGTATGACCTTCGGAGTTTGGAAGGTTTCAAGAGCGACTTCAAGTGAGGTTTACCATCGAGGCATATGAACAGGACATATCACGAAGATGATGCATTGAACAGAAAGTTCTCGCACTGTGAAGGTCCAAGGTCGAGAGAGCGCCATCTTGTTGCCTCCGAAGCTGCCGAGGCGAAGTTGCTAGCGTTCGGAGGCAGCGCTGAGCTCCAAGGGCAGCCGGAAGTCCTCGAGGTGCGAGAAGGACTTCAGTTCGAACTTTTCCACGTCTAAGTGTCCGTCCAAGGCCTCCGAAGCGCTGGCATCTGCAGGGTTCTGGGCAGAGGCTCCGACGTGGTCCCCTCGCATGTGGCGCTTCAATCCTCAGCTTTTCAAGCCTTCTAGGGTTTGTTTCGGATTAGAGTATCTGCAAAAGAAGCCTTGCGACAACGCAGGCAGAAGGTTCCGCCAGATTCTTGGTTTCCGAGATCATTCGCCATGCTAACTTCAGCACAGGCACTGTAGGAAGTGAAGGCCAAGATCCGTCCCGCCTGAAAGTGCACGCTCGCTGGAGGCTGCAAGACGCAACTGGTTGCCAAAGTCTCTTCAAGAGGCGGGGGAATGCTGCGCGGTCGTCACCATTGTGTGAAGATCCCTAAGGTACTTCCCATCATAACCAGGACCACTGTCACCGCCGCCGTCGTCGTTATTGTCACCGTCAGCAACGCCGACACGTGGTGATTGTGTTCGTCGTGGTTATCGTGGTCGTTGCGGTTGTCAGCGTCAGTGATCGTCGCAGTCGCCGTTGTCGTCGTCGTCCTCCTCCTCGTTGTGGTGGTCGTAGTCACCGCCTTCGTCGTTGTTTGCCCCTGGCTCCTCTTCCTCTTCCCCCAGCATCCGAATGGTTGATTCCTGACCGGTGACAGGTCCTCGCAGCAAGGTGCCACTCTGGTTCGGGATGCAGCCCTGATGGGTTCTACCGCATGGCAGGCGCTTGTAATTAAGTGCAACACCTTTAAAGCACTATATACCACCACTACCATCGCACATGCTATCACTGAATAATATCAATCATCATTACCATTCCTCAACTATCACAGCAATCAGTACCAGCGCCGGCATCATCGCCCTTGTCACTCATCGTCATCCTTATCGTCATCCTCATGTCATCCTCATGTCATCGTCATCATCATATTCATCTTCTTCATCATCTTCATCTTCATTTTCTTCTTTTTCATCCTCATCATCATCATCATCATATCATCATCATCATCATCACCATCATCACCATCGTCGCCGTCATCCGTGGCTTTCGTTTTGTCGTTGCAGTTATCGCTGTCGCCCTTGCCTCATCATTCTAATGTTCTTGCTCTAATTGGCGGGCGGCATTCATGTCGAAAAACCGAGCGAATCAAGTCGCATTTCCCATCGGTTTCCAGTGGCAGGAGTCTTCGGCGACAATAATGAGTCGCTTGAAGCGGTGCGCTTCTGGCCAATGGGGCGCAAGGCAAGTCGAGACATCAGCAGTGGCATAGAAGGGGTTCGCGGGTGCAACCCCCGAACGAAGGCCCCAAGTCGTGGCTGAGCATCGCCATGGGCCCACTTTGATTGGCGGAGGTCAGCTTCGTTCCAGCCGACGGTTCTCCCACGACTATTCTGCGACGCCGACTCAGCTCCAGCTCCCGTGTTATTACCGTGGTCGTAGCATGCAGTGGGACTAGCCATCGATCTTCCAAGATTCGCGATTTGCATTCTGCCACTTATTTTCACCCGCAGACGCGTTGAACAGGGACATTCTTGCAGCTTTCTTTGGATTCCAAAGACCGTCTTCAGGACTATGCACAAGGCAGTTATTCGTGTCAGGCCTGTAGGAGGCCTTTCCCCATCCTTAACATGATTGAATTGAATCTGAATCAACCCTTCGCGGGACAACTGGGTCTTACAGGATCCTCAGCCTTCTGTCAGCTAGGAAACCCGTGGCAGCTCCAGCCACTCCGCTTCGAGCTTCAGGCACCCCTGCAGACATTGAGGGCCTTTCAAAGGAGCTTTCAAAGGTCTTCAGAAAGCAAAAAGCCTCGACCTTTTAGATCTACATAAAATCGAAGTTGTTGTGCGGACGCATGGCATGAATCATAACTCTGGGTGGGTGGCTGCATATATGTGTGTTTGTGTGTGTCGTGCGCGCACTGCCCTCGTCCATGGGCTTTCGGTACATCGATGGTTGACATCATAAGGACCTGGGTGGGCGGCTGGCAAGGCATATTTCTTTCAGGAAATCCAGCCAACAATGCTTGAACTGGCATTAATGCCTTAAGTAAATAACTTCGGACGGCCAAAAGACAACCAGGAAGTACATAAAGGTAGCCATGTGTGGGTGTGGCAGGCCTGTCGCAAAGATAAAGGGGCAAACGGTTCGAGCTTGACACGGTTCGCGAGTTTGCGAAAGAGGGCCAAATTCTGCAAAACGGCTTGAGAAGTTGCAACAGCACCAACAAAAGGCTCGAAAGAGGTTTCCAGGCAATGCGACGGAGGAGCATACCACTGGAAAGGGAGTGGAGAGCTGGAGCGAGCGAGTTGCCCGAAAGGAAACTTTCACAAAGAGGATTGCGGCCTGAACCTGAACCCCCCCTGTGGAGCTGCTGCAGGGCTTAGACCTTAACGCTGTAGGGTTTCGGCTGCAGGGATACCGTTGCTGGGGTCGAGATCGTTAATCGGTGAAGCGCAGGCACATGTATAGTTTCGCGACAAGGCAGTCTCTTATCTATAAGCTAGATTCGTTATCAGACTGAATCTGCGTATCTGTTCGCTTAGCCAAGACTACAGTAGTACTAAACGGAAAGGACCAGGGCTTTAGGGTTTAGGGGCTTAGGGCTCAGGGCTTAAAGTTTTAGGGGTTAAGGCTTTAATTAGGGGTTAAGGCTTAGGGTTTAAGGCTTTCGGGTTTAAGGCTTAAGGCTTTGGGGCTTAAGGGTTTAGGGCTTAAGGTTTAGGGCGTAAGGCTTAACGCTGTAGGGCTCAGGGCTTAGGGCTGCGTGATTGAACGGCTGTTGTGTCTGGCTGACAAATTATTCCTGCCGAACCCCCTAATATAAAAACTAGAAGACATGTGGCCCGAAAGCATCATTTGCGAAGAGTTTAGCGCTATGTAAAGTCAGAGAGTGAAGTACAAAAAGTCATAGAGTCAAGTGCACAGTTTGAGTACAGAGAATCTAGTGCATAGAGTCATATTGTCACAGAGTGAAGTGCATAGAGTCATCAAGTACAAAGTCCAGGTTTAGAGTTTAGGGTCTAGGGTTCAGGGTAGTCGAT